CATGAAAATCATGAGCATTAACTCTTCCATGTTACTTCTATGTCCACATCCAATTATCAATCTCCAGCAGATCTGGATCAATATCCGTATTCTATGCAATATTGGTTCAACTATAAGCCAAGCGAGGCAATTAGTTTAGGCCTTGCATTAGAGAAGGTCGAAGTTTTTAGCCAAACTTAAAAACATAGAAAGAACCAGGAAATCCATACCAAAAATAAAAGAATAATGAATTGGTGATTCTATTTTGGTACTATGGTGTTTGGGAAGCTAGGGCTCCGTTTAGCAATGTTTGAAAACCCAAACCGGATCAGACCATTGACCCGACCTAATTCCAGTCTTGATGACCCTCGAAACCTGGACAATGCTCAAAACTAGCTTAGAATTTGAAAACCAGAAGAACCGGCCAGGTTTGAAGAATTGAAGTTTCTTCCAAAAATATGTTGTGGAGAGGGTTTGAACATGAAACCAAGTGCATAAAAAGCAAGCACTCAAACCACTAAGCCAGTTGAAAATGTAATAAGTATATGTACCATTTATTCAATATTATCTTAATTATTTTTATTAAAAATCAATGTATAAAAAACGTAAAATAAATTTTAAGAAATAATTTTTTTTGTTATTGTTTATTATTTATTATTTTTTATAATTTTAATATCTATATTTTTATACTTATAAATTTTTCTCTCACACTCATCTATTTAACTACAAAAAAAAAAAAAAAAACTACAAATCATTCCAAATTACAAAACTCCAAATTTGTAAAAACTATTTTCAAAATATACAACGAAACAAATTTTCAAATTTTGAAAATCATTTCCAAAAAATTATCTTTCAAAACTGATTATGAAAACCAAGCCAAACACAACCTAGCTTTTTGGTTAAAATAGTAAAAAAGTCAAAACACCCAATTACATCACTCTATCTATTTTTTTCACGTCTTTTCGTAAAAAACTAAAAGATCAATTAAACTAGTCAATTCTCAAATGAGCTCACAGAGTGTGGCATTTTACACACATCAACGGACGAAGTCCTGTTGTTTTAAAAATATGAGTAAATTATAAATACATTCCTGAAATTTGTTTAAAAGACGAATTGGCTCATGTGGTTCTAAAAAATACAAATATTGTTTTATCAAAAATTTTTATTTTACAAAATTAATAGAAAAAAAATGGGGGATGCACCAATAAATCCCAAATTAATAACTTATGCACTGTTTAGTCCTAAAAGTTTTCTTATAGACTGAAAGGTCCCATTACAATGTTAATAACATCAGATACAATGTTAATAACATCAGAGTCATGTTACAAACATTAGATTTCAAACATCTAATGTTCATCAAATTTCAATAATATTTGAAAATATAGGATGAAAAACATCTAATGTTCATCAGATTTCAATAAATTTTGAAATTATAGAATGAAACATCAGATCATTTACATCATTCACATCATGTTGATGTAAAAATGGGACTAAATGGAGCATAAGAAAATTTTTAGGACTAAATGGTTCAACGTTTCAAAAACTAGGACTTATGGGTAAATTTTCCTTAAAAAATTCTAACTACTCTCGTACACAACATTAAAATGAATTATTAATTGAAATATATTTCTGACATCATTTAAAACTATTAATCGGCTTGATGATTTATTAATGAAATGAGTTATTTGTTATGAGATTAGAAATTTAAAGGGACGGGACCCACATCAATAATCCAAATCATGCATCTTGTAAATCTCACAGTAAATGTTGTCTATGTAAAAAATCAACTTCATCAAATATTGATGAATAAATGAACAATTTGCATTTCATTTTACAAAATAGAGAATTTAAATTTAAACTCATAGTTATCGCCATTTTACGAAACAAAATATAATTTGTTCATGTATCTGGTGATGTTTGATAAAACTAATTTTTTGTACAACCCATTTTTACTAAGTAGTTTATGAAAGGGTATGACAGATAATAGTATAGCGAGGCGCCATTCTCAAACTATCATATCTATATTTATATTATGGGGAAATGCTTTGGTGTGTAATGCATACCATATGCAACTCTATCACAAAATTACATAAGTTTTTACTAATTTGCATTAGTGATCTCGCAAAAACGCGTAAGTTGGATACAAATTCACATAAGTTCGTGAAAACTTAAGACTTACGCTAATTTGTATTCAACTTATGCATTTTTGTGAGATTGCTTATGTAAGTTCGTAAAAACTTACATAATTTTGTGATAGAGTTGCATATGGTGTTTTGGTGATTTCAAATCTTTCCATTAGAGCTGAAAAAGAGAGGAATCGAGTTGAATAGTAAGCTGTTTAAGTTTGATTTGATAATTTAACGAGTCGAACACAAGTCAAATTCAAGTAACATAGTTCGTTTAGCAACCTACTTTCCACCTATTTAATTCCTAATTATAAAAATTTTAATAAATAAAATTATTTTGTTCAATTTGGATATGGACAGTCCATATATCATGACCAGCTCAGCTAGCAAGGTTCAGGCCCGACGGGCCTCACACCAAATCCTAGGCTAGGCCCAACTCAAAAACTGATTTTAATGAGTAGCGCTGGGCTTCAATACCTCATCATAAGCCCTAACAGAAGAGGTCTAGACTGCTCGTCATAGATTATGTTCTTACCAATGACTTTCCTAACAAGCCTTCATCTCTACTCTTCAATTGGCTAAATTTATTCTATTATATGTCTCTGCTTAAACCCAAAAAACAACTTGTGGTTTTTATCTTTGAAAACATTAGCCAGACAGTTTGTAATTTCTTATTTTCGTTAATTACAACTTTTTATATATTGTGAGTCAGATTTAGAATTTTTGTTTGTGCTAGACCACTGTGGTTCTTCAATAAAAGCTTATTGTGGGTAATTATTTACTTTGACCTTATTATACTGCATTTATCATAGTTCACTTTTACCCACCTCTGTCAAATTTTATTTTATTAGAGTTCACTAGATTCATATGCAGTAAACTTTTGAATCATACAGTGATTTCTCTAATTAATCAATGTCCTATCAAATCATATAGTGACTTATCGAATTGATCAATGACTTGTTTAATCATGTAGTAACTTGTCCAATCACGTAGTAATTTGTCAGACCTTTGAATCATACAATGACTTGTCCATAAGATATGTCACATGGGCTCGTAGACCAAGAACAAAAAAGCCAAAATGATCGAGGATCCTCTGGAGTGATTTTTTTCTAAAGTTTCTTAGAGTGCAACATTGTATGGTTGAGATTTACTGGCAAGTCACATCAATTTTTCTGATGTGACTTGCCAGTAAATCTCAATCACACAATATAGCACTCTAAGAAACTTTAGAGAAATTTCACTCTAGAGGATCCTTGGTGAAAATGATCATCTTCTTCCATTATGAAAGTTTGGAGAGCCATTATTTTCAACAATAACCATAGCATTGAAAATAAGAAACAGAAAAGCAAAGAGTGAGGAAACTAGAAACACAAGTGACATTAACAAAAACTTGGGTAGTTTCTGCAAAAATAGAAGGGTCATGTATGTCATGAACTAATGTAAATATATGTAGAAGGTTTTTCTTGACATGCCCTTAACAATGGCTATAAAGAATTAATGTAAATATATGTAGAAGATTTTTCTTGACATGCCCTTAACAATGGCTATAAAGAATTTGCATAACTTGATTCACCGATATGCACACACGGGCTGCATTATAATAAAATCTAAGTAGCTGCAAGAAAGAAAAGAGAGAAGGTTTTGGATTTGTTTGGTCATAACATGGTTTATCATTGTATCATTTCGATCTTTACTATAAAAATGAATAATTGTATCAATTCAGAAATGGATGTGGTTAGCATTGAATAAAATTGAAAATTAAGTACTACAATTTAATTATTGAATCAAATAAATTATTTGATATGTAAAAGATTATATTTGAAATTAATTATTTTCAAATTGTAACTTCTAATTTTTATATTATATATGATCGTGGTGGTGGTTATATAGCCAATGATAATGGTGGTAGAAGTGGAGGGATAGTGGGTGTGATGATAGTAGAGTGGTAATGTAGTGGAAGTAAAAAGGATATGGTGGTGGTGTAATGATGGTAATAATTTTGATGATGGAATGATGATAATGATAATCATTGTGAAGGTAAAAGATTGTAATAGTTGTCGTAATGGCGGTAGGTAGTAATGACAATGATGACTATAGTCACTATAAGAATCTGCACTTTTAGCGATTACTTTCTGCGACCAATATAAAAGTTGGTAGCTAAAAGTTACCTTTTAATGACCAAATATTAATTAGTCGTGAATGATCATTATTTTTTACGACCATATATGAGTTGGTCGCATAAGGTCATATTTTGGCGACCAAAATATGAGTTGGTCACAAAAAGTGGTATGGTTTTGGTGACCAACTACAAATTTGGTCACGGAAGGTCACATTTTGGAGACCAAAAAATAAGTTGGTCGAAGAAGATCAAAAATAAGTTGGTTGTGGAATTGGCAACCAAAAGTTTGGTAGCCAAAAACTTATTTTTAGCGACAAAAAATATTTTAGTCACCGTATATTGAGTTTGGGCTACTAAAACTATTTAGTCGCTGAATGGAAAATAAAAAATTATTTCTTATCTTTGACGACCAAAATTTTGGTCACCAAAAACTTATTTTTAGCGACTAAAAATATTTTAGTCGTCGTATATTGAGTTTCGGTTACTAAAACTATTTAGTTGCCGAATGGAAAATAAATTTTTTTTTTTATCTTTGGCGACTAAAATTTTGGTCGCCAAAAAATTATTTTCAACGACCAAAAAAAAATTAGTCGTCGTATATTTATTTTTTCCTACCAAAACAAAGTTAGTCGCCAAATTAATATTTTTTACCGACTAATATTTTAATCACCGTTAATTAAGCTTTGGCTATAACAAAATTTTCGTCATCAATTATTAACATTTGCTGACTGAAAACTACTTTTATCACCAAAAGTGTGAAAATTTTAGAGGAAAACCATTTAAATTGTCCCCGCCTGTTCTCTGTTTAAACAAATCAGATTGTTCTCTCTCGCACAAATTCTCCTTCGCCACCAAACCTCGCCTCGCCTCGCCTCAGCATCAACGTTGCCGTCCACCGTTCTCGCCCTCCACTATCATCACCGTACGTTGCACTCTAGACCCTTTTCTTATACGCAAGCCCTAGCCCCTTTTCTTATGCGTTGTTCCTTCAATGTTGTCTCTCTTGATATCATTCTCTCTGTTTCAAGCTCTCTCCGTTGCCATGGTGATCTGAAGAACAGGAGTGGTACGAATCTCTCTCTCTCTCACACACAATCTCTCTCTTTCAATCTACCTGTAAATACTTATTTAGCTTTCTCACTTTTCTTTTGCGATCTCTCTCTTTCTCTCTCTCTCTCTCTCTGGTCTCTGGAATCGCCTCTCTCTGTCTCTCTCTTGAATCGGCTCTCTCCCTCTTCTCATCCAGTTCAGATTGTCCCTCTTCGATATGTCGAAAGCTCTCGAGTTCGAAGAAGAATCGATTTTGAAGACTATCAAGTTTCGATATGCGCTTCTCTCTATTTGATATAGGGCTCTTAGATCTGGATGAGTTTAATTTGGATTTGACCGATTGGGATCTGGATCTAGGGTTCTTCTACCAGGTATGGGGTTCTAATTTGGATTTCAAGTTCGTTCAAATCACTAGCATTATTGTTTATGGTTTCAATTTAATTGATTTAGGCTCTTAGATCCTGACTGATTTTCATTTGGATCTGAAATATGTGTATGAGAGAGAAAAGATGAGAGATGTTAGAAAGTTGATGTTGATGAACCAACACAATTATAGTTGGAAAGTAGCAGTAAAGTGCTCAAGATTTGAATTTATAATATAAATTTAAATTTGATATGATGTAAGTCATATTAAGAAAGTATTTAATTCACAAATTTTCAAATTTTGAACACTCTTTTATGTATTTTCTTCTAAGTATATAACATTGTTGTGCTAGAAAGTAATCCAATTCCACGCAAGTAGAATGCTAAAACTCCAAGATAAGAGATAGTCAAGCAATGTTTGAGTTTTGAGGATGGCTTTGCTCACATCCTATTGGCTCATCAAACAATATCCTTTTACGTTCTATTTGTTTCCTAGGAAAACACACACACACACACGAGAAGGGAAAAAAAAGCCAATTAATTGTAGCAGATTTTGTTAAGTAAGGGTTTGTGATTTCTCTGATGAAAAATTTGAGGTTCAATTTGAGAAGGAAGAAAGGAAGGACTTATTGTTTTCTTTCATATGGCGATTAATTTGGTAATAATTATGGTATTAGAGTGCATTGTTGTTTTGTTGATTCGTACTAAGCGGTATAGGGAGTTGACAAAGTGATGCGAACTCTTATTGACTTTGTAAGATACCTGCTAAGTTCAATTATCACAAATTTCAACAGTTTATCAAATTCCATATTGAGGAAAATGTTGTTTGGTGTTACCACAAGGCAATAGTTAAGCCTAAACCCTTGTTTGTTTCCCAAGAAAACAAAAAAAATTCAATTAATTGAAGCAGATTCAGTTAAAGTAAGGGTTTGTGTTTTATCTTGAGTTGACCAATGAGATTTTCAAGATTCAATTTGGGAAGGAAGGACTTCTTGTTTTCTTTCATGCAGTGATTAACTTATTGTTGTTTTATTGATTTGTACTAAGCTGTATAGGGAGTTGACAAAGGGATTTGAACTCTGATTGAATTTGCAAGTACATTGCTAAGTTAAATTATCAAATTGGCAGAGATAAATTTCAACAGTTTGTTGCCGTCCATCCCGGGCATTTATCAAATTGGCAATAGTTTGTTGTTAGCTACCTGAATGTGAGATATCTTGAGTTTTTAGAAATTTCGTGTTCTTAATTATTTTATTAGGGTTTTGTATAGTAAGGAGATATACAAAGTTATGTATTGTATGTATTCCAATGGTGTATTGTGGTTTTGGTTCAAGAGAAATAAAAGGACAAACCATGTCAAGAGTCTGGGCAAATATGAGAAATGTGTGGTATTATGTCGTTTCATGGTCCAGGGGATTTTGAAACTCAATATAAATCTTGATCCTCTTGTATTAATACTTTTATATCCCTAACAACAAAAGCCTTGACATTGATTAGTGGGCAAATCAACTGCTGCCTTTAGATGTTTGGTTTTCAGTTGATTATCTTATCATTATGACCAATTAGATTATATGCTCATACTATATATGTGGTTATTAGAAAGGTGACAACCCTAATGAATCTACTACAAAAGTGGTTGTTAGCTACATCAGCACTCAAATTCCTTCATCCTTATTGCTCTTGCTTTGATAATCAACCCCTAGTACATTTAGACTTTTATTCTTGCCTTTTTCCATTTTAAATATGCAAAACGTCCTATCCGTATAGAAATCTTACCTCCCTTTGCTGATAATTAGTCTATTGGAAAACATTGTTGGAATGACATGTCACAAGACCATCGAGATTTGTCAAATATGCTAAATCATAAAATTTTTGTTCTCTTGCATCCCTTTTCACATATTTTATACCCGGGTTTTCTTGGTAGCCTCAGTTGTTTTCAGTGAAAGCCTTGTTTCCTTGTAGGCACACTCCATTGCAGATAATCCACATTATTGGCAACTTTATGAGAATATGGTCGGTTTACTCCATGTACCACTACTTGTCTCAGACAGGAGCTTCAGTTGTACTTTTTATCTTCAGTTGTCTCGTTCCATCATCCATCATATTTTTAGTTTTGCAAAAGCCGTGGAAGGGCAGACCGCTTTCTAATACACAGGTATAATGAAAATATACTTTTATATGATGAATTAATGATATATTGCAAAATGAAATTCACTACTTGACGTGATCACATATTTCTTTTGTTACTCTATTTGCTTTTCAGGTAGTACCTTCTATAATGAATGGTGGAATAACAGCTTTATACTTCATTTTATGGGGAAAGGGTGTCAAATCATGTGGCCCTGTCAGGTACTTTCTTATGCTTACAAGAAAGATTGATGAAATATTCAATTCATTATTTAATCTCAATCTTGATGAGTACATGATGGTTATATACATATCAGATGATTACAACTAATCCATAACTAATGTAATCTGTTACACGTACATACTAACAAACACTCTAACAGATTCCTAACTAACTAGCTGGAGCTGATTCAGTGACTGCACCTCCATGGATGAGGATGTACACTTGATGTTAGAGCTGCTGCTATGTATCTTATCAGGCCCCTGCAAGCTGATGGGGTGACAGAACTCCATAAGCTTGGTTTTAAGATAAGAAAAGCGACCAACAGAGAGGGGTTTAGTAAACATATCAGCCAACTGATCCATAGTAGGAATGTATTGCAAACTAATTTGTTTAGCAAGGACTTTGTCACGAATAAAGTAACAATCCACTTCGATGTGTTTAGAGCGAGAGTGGAAAACAGGATTTGAAGCAAGAGCAATGGCAAAAACATTATCACACCAGAGAAGAGGAATAGTCGGAGGTGAAATGCCAAGATCATGAAGAAGTATAAGAAGCCAAGAAATCTCAACAGTGGTGTGAGCAAGGGCTCTATATTCAACTTCAGTGGAACTACGAGAAACTGTAGCTTGCTTCTTAGCAGACCATGAAATAAGATTGGAACCCAAGAATATACAATAACCAGAAGTAGACTTTCGGTCAAGAACATCCCCTGCCCAATTAGAGTCGGAAAAAGCATGAAGATCAAAAGTGCTGGGAGAAAACTGAAGACCATGATGAAGAGTACCCTTGACAAAGCGAAGTAGCTGCTTAACAGCAGAGAAATGGCCAATGGTGATGGCATGCATGTGCTGACAACATTGATTAACAGCAAGAGATATATCCGGGCGAGTAATGGTAAGATATTGCAAAGCACCCACTAAACTGCGATATAGAGTAGGATGAGGACAAGGATCATTAGAATGAGGAACCGAAAAAGGTTTGACAGCAATAGGAGAAGAACAAGTTTACAATCAGACAAACCAGTCTTAGTCAGAATATCCTGAGCATATTTATGTTGAGACAAAAAATAGCCTGAATCAGGAGTGCCCTTTATAGAGATCCCAAGGAAATAGGAGATATCTCCTAATTCTTTCGTGGAAAAAACCTGGTGCATCTTGGTAATCAAATACTGAAAATGAGTAGAATTATTTCCTGTGAGCAAGATATCATCGACATAGACCAAAAGAATAGTAATTGTGGTGGCTGTCCGTTGAATGAACAAGGAGGAGTCACATTTACTATTAACAAAACCTTGAGATAAGAAGAAGGTTGAGAAAGTGGAATACCAGGCACGGGAGGCCTATTTTAAGCCATATAACGTCTTGTGAAGCTTACACACTTGAGTAGGAGATGAAGATATAAAGCCTGGGGGCTGGAGCATAAAGACCTCCTCTTCAAGCAAACCATGAAGGAAAGCATTTGAAATATCCAACTGTTTCAAGGGCCATTTATGGTGAAGAGCAAGACACAAAAGAATTCGAATAGTAGGTTATTTGGCGACGGGACTAAATGTTTCTTGAAAATCAATCCCATGTTGTTGAAAATAACCCTTGGCTACCAATCGGGCTTTGTGTCTGGCAATACTACCATCTGAGTTTCTTTTAATTTTAAACACCCATTTGCATCCGATAGCCTGTTTGTGAGGAGAAAGAGAGACAAGGGTCCAAGTGTGTTGAGCATGTAAGGCAGTAATCTCCTCTTGCATAGCTTAAAGCCAAATAGGAGACAAAAGAGCTTCACGATAAGAAAGAGGCTCAGAGTCAGCAAACAACTGAGGAAACGAAGACTGAGCAGCTGAAAAACAAGTTTTAGAGCGAGTGAGCATAGAATGAGTGTTAGTAGGAGGAATAGGAGGTAACACAGGAAGTTGGATAGAAATAGCCTGAATAGGAGCAGGAGAAGAGATAAGAAGAGCAGAAGGAGGCAGCAAAGGAATAGAACTTGATGAAATCATAGGACCAAAACTGGGAACTGTAGGAACAGAACTGGGAAGAGCAGAACTAGGGGCAGAGCAACTAAGCTGGACTGCTGGACAGAACTGGGAACAGCAGAACTGGTGTAACAACCCTCACCACTATTTACCGATAAACTACCGATTATTGCTAAACTGAGACTGATTATGAAAAGTAATTGAACTGATTGAAATACTGAACTGACTGACTGAAATCTGAAACTGATTGATTGACTGTATCTGTTTAAATGCATTATCTATCTATTTGACTGTTTGATTATCTGTTTATATTTTTAGGTTTAAACTGCAAATTGAAGGCCTTATCGGCGGCCGAACCAGAAATTGATTAATGTTTCATAATCAGTATAATTTATGTGATTTTATGGCATATTTATCTAAAATGTGTTTTGGTATGATTAAATTAGTTGAAGTAAAGCTAATTAAAGAGTTAGGCTTATCTACAACTTTGCCATTGTGAGTGGGCCACTTCATGAACTATATTTGAGCCTTATTATACACTTAGGCAAACATTTCATCAGCTTATCTCCCTTGCCTTAGCCGACCAAGAGGGAGAGAGGGAGAGGAATTGAATTGTCCTTGTTGATTTGTTTAGAAACTTGAAGGAATTGAAGGTTGATTTCAAAATTGTGCTTCCATTCTTGAACTACAAGACCTAAGGTAGTGTAACTACCCTCTTGTTTGTGAATTCAATTGATTCTTGTATGGTTTTAGAGCAGGTTGAAGTCTAGAGCCAAGTTATGGCTCTTAATTGTTGAATTATAGCTTAACTCATGCATGCATGTTTGTATTGTTGCATTTTAAGTTGTTTTCATGGCAAAATGTTACATGCATGTTCATATTATGTTTAAGTCCATGATTTCATCTTGTTTTGAAAAGAATTGGCTCTTTAGAGCAAGTGTTTAAAGCTTGAAAATGATTTAAGTTCATGCATGTTGCATGTTCATCTTGTTCATGAAAATTGGTTTGAAATTGGATTTATTTGAACTACCTTTGGGCTTTGATTTTTACAATTGAGTTTTGAATCATGTTAAGCTATGAGTTTTGAGGAGTTTTTTGGAAAATTAGCCCAAGGGGATTGGTTTTCATCCATTTGAACTCGATTTTGAGCTTGAGGTTCGAATCTGGGAATTTCAGATTTTGAACTCACGCTCGAGCGGGGTGACTGGCGCTCAAGCGTGGAAATCGTGCTCCCAGCATTTTGTTCTGTTTTTGAGTCAACTCGAGCGGGGTAATTTACGCTCGAGCGGGACCTTGTGTTTACGCTCAAGCGGGTGTCGAGCACCCAATCGAGCGTGAATTTCACCTATCCAGCACTTTTGACTGTTTTGAAGTACGCTCGAGCGGGTTAGTCTGCGCTCGAGCGAAAACCTTTGTCTGCATGTCCGCTCGAGCAGATTAACCTATGCTCGAGCGGGACCCCTGTTTTCTGAAAATATTTTTAAAGCGCATCTTTGCATCCTCATTTCATCCTAGGCATTCTTAGGCCTAGTTTAAGGCATCTTAATGAGGATATAGATGTAGAACCACACCGAGTCAAGATAGGGATTAAGTTATTATCTTTCCCAACTGTGTAGCTTAGTGTGTGTTCAATCTGTAAACTGTGTAGGGTTGGCGACTAGGGACGCGCTCTAGCCTAACTGTAGCCTAGAACTCTGTGAGTAACAACTGTATAAAGATATGTTCAAAAATGATTATCTTCTGAACAATTGAACTGTACTGTATCTGAATCGATACTGTTAATAGAATGAATGTATGTCCTCTATTCTGAACTGTATTGTGGCATCCTTAGCAACTACTGTTACTGACTGTTACTGTTACAGAGATCTCTGTCGGTTCCCTTGTTAGAACCACTACTGTTTACTGATTGATGGCCATCATTACTAAGCGGGTTCAGCTCCAGTGTCTATTCTTGCGCTCGAGCGATTGGTCTGTTGTCTGCAAAACTACTAGGAGTGTGCATTCTGTGCTTGAGCGTCACTTCTTGCGCTCGAGCGAAACAAC